GGGACGATCGACTTATAACACCTAGGCTCCATGTGAAGTTAGGTGGCGTAGCTCTTGGTAATTGGGAGTACGTTGGTGGCATGTGGTCTAGTGATATCTGATCTTGGTAAATGGGATAGATATCATTGACAGCGTTTAGTGGCCTGAGTCAGCATATAGTTCAGGGATGCATTAGAATAAATAAAGTATATGTAATTGTGGGTATAAGATACGCTTGTTTGTATAAATATGGTTTCCATATATATTATTATTTTACACATTCATTCCCACTTTTAAACTTGTACATGAATCTTAGCCCTGTGTCATTTTTGTTTTGCATTTTGGATTATTTTATGACGATCAGACGATGAGCTCGAATCTTGCGTACTTCCCGACAACTCAGAAGGAAAGGATATGAAGTGACGTGGAGATGTGTTACTATAACATCTAGATTGGGAGCTGTTAGTGTTTTGTCAAACGCTAATCACATCCCTACTACTACAGTCAGTATAAGTGTCAGTCTTGTTGGACTTAGGAGGTCCCTTTTGGTATGCTTTCTTTTTGGTTTCCTTTCTGTACTTTTATTTTATGTTTTATCTATGTGGCAAGGCCGCTAGTCTTAACGGTGTCAAACTCTGTAAAATATATTTGAAGCATATGTATGTGAAACAGTATGTTTTTAAATAATTAAGTATTGTCCTTTAAAAATTTCAAATTTTTCTGTATTTTTATAAGGTTTCATTAGAATTCCACTAATGGGACATAGGCTGTCTCAGTTTTGCTGATTAAAGGTTCAAGAGGACAAAAACAGAGTTTGAATGTTTGTTTGAGTTTTTATACGAAAGAACTGTTTTTTAGTCTGTTTGCAACTTGTACTGTACTAAAGACTTGTGATCTGAGAGTGACTACGTCGCATGTCACCCTAAGGGTACCATACTAAGCAGGCAGATTACTGAAGAGTGACCCTCCAGCAACCTTTTCTCAAATAGCTTAAGGCTCGTAACGTACGACACGCGTTATCCTTATTACTGTGTTTTTGAATTGTTTTGAGATGAGAAGAGAAAGACGCTCTAAAAATCCTATGGTTGAAAGGGAAATTAACCTAATGTTATCATGCATGGGTCAAAACCTAATGTCTGTCATAATTTCCTCTTGCACAGAGGAAATCAGAGATCCTAGGGGATAAACAGCAAAAGACAGCAAGCAATTACAGTAAACAATAAAATGCATGCAGTGCAGCAATATAAGAGAGGCAATGGAGAAGACAATAAGCAAGAGGAGACAAGCTCCACCTCAAACCTAGAGGTAATCAACACAAGCAAACAGACAATACAGAAAAACAAAATACACAAAGGAGGCAGCCCAAGCAGCAGCAACTTCTACAGACAGCCAAAACATGTATTGTAATATCAATACAGTTCACCGTCTCTTTCTATTATTCTAAGTTGTCATTCTTGAATAAAACCTCAAATTCTAATGTTCTAGCTTCTTCATGGAAGATCTGTATAATTTCCACTCCACCGCTCCATTCACCTCTAATCATGTGTACTTTTTTATTTATTACCTTGTCCAAACAATCCTTCCATTTGTGTTCATGATCTATGTCTCATTTGAAAAAACAACATACAAGATTATTCATACAATACTTGCATATTTGCTTTAGTTTAATGCTTTATTCCAAATTTGTAATATCGTATACAAATCCCTTTTTTTATAAGCAAGTATTATTATTAAGAGATTAAGAAAATCTCAAGACAACAAGATTACAACCACCACCAGAGACAGGACTATTACAAAAAATCGAACGGGAAATTAAACCAATCGTACAAACTACAATGCTTACTTTCCTGCCTTCCTAGAATCAACCAATTCCACGATGAAACTTTAATATCGAAAACAATGTCATCTACATGAATTACATGGGTCAAACAACCGCATTGTAAAAAAAACCTAGTCTTCAAAAATATCATTTAGATAATCCTTTTCGTGTGACACTCAAATTTAATACATATACAAAATCAATCACTTATTTTTTTAAATTTTGAAATAATTTATGTAAAAGAATAAAGAAGGTATTAGTCAATAACGTGATGCTAGTATACAAATGTACCCTTTTTTTTTTATGATGGAACAATTGTACCTTCTTAACGATGATTAGTTATCAAATAAGAAATTAGAGGACCAATATCGATAGAGTAACTACTTTGTACATGGATAAAAATTAATGATAAATTGAAGTTTAAAAGGTGAAGACACCACTGGGTATCAGAAGATTTACAACCTAATTCGAAAATTTGATTAGAAATGGTTTTAATCACTACAAGAAAAACGATGGATTGCAACAATTATTTTGGCAGGTTAAGACTGTTAAAACCACCATCAATTACATTCTACGACGGTCGTAGTACCGTCGCAGAAACGTGTGTCCCCAGGTTGTTTAGTGATGGTTTCCAAAATCACCACACCAACCGTCGTTTTATTTCACGATGGGTTGGAACTGACCTAAACTGGAGATGGCGACGGTTAAAGACCGTCGTTACTAGCCTTTTGATTTTTGTTTTCATTGTTCATTGTGACAGTTTAAAACTGTCGTGAATTCTATTTCACGACTGGTTTGAGCTGACATAAATTGAAAATGGCAACAGTTAAATATTGTCATGAATATCCTTTTGATTTTTGTTACCATTGTTGATTATAACGGTCTAAAACTGTCGTGAATATGGTATCTTGACGGTTCAAATCGTCGTAATTTGATTTATAAAATTTTAAAATTTAATTTATTTGGTAACGGTTTAAAGCGCAACTAATTATTTAATTTTTACATTTAGCAACAGTTTTAAGCTTTAACTTTAAATTCATCAAAATAATATACCTGTCTTCCACTAGAATTTTTCATTTGCATAAAGAGTTGAATTTCCTCTTTCATAACATTGTCTCTTTACTTTAAGAATGTGATTGCCTCCATCAATTCATCAATTTTTGAATTTTTTTCTTTAAGTGCAATAATTTCTTGTTGCATTTTGTTTATTTTTCCATTTTCTCTAGAAGAAGATGTCGATCATGTAGATCTATTAATATGAGATGGCATAACTTCAAGTCCCATACTACGAACATATCCATGTTGTTCTTTTCCAAATACTTTCTGAAATGCCTCATTTTCAGACACAGAATCGTTAGTTGCAGCTTGTAACTTTTCCTGCACATGAAAAAGAGTAAATTGAGAAACCAAACTTAACTTAACTATTCAATATAGCTAATAATTTTTTTCTACATTTTAAGGAGAAACAAACAATGATTATAAGTAAAAACTGATAAATTTGGATTGATGAAAAAGATGTTTAGTAATTTAAAACTTGGTTTAGCTAGCTAATCTATTTATGTTGGTAAATTTTAATTCCAGTAAGTTTTATTGGCTGCTCGAATTATTTAAAATTTCAACTCCAGTATGCATTTGTGATGGTAAATTTTAATTCCAATAACGTATTTGATTATGTAAAATTTGTATACATGTTAAACATTCTTCTTACTACTTGTATTTACTACTTGAATTTAGTTAAATTTTTATATTTTATTTCTATTTGTTTGAATAATTAGTTGACTTCATAAAGAGCACAATCTATTGTTACAAGACTAATTAATTAACTCAATTAATCACAATTCTCATACTAATTTAACCAGTTTTCAGACAGGTTCTCCCCACCTTTAAGAGATGCCAAATGGTTTGATTTTTTCTCATACCTTAAGGAGACTAACAAATATTTAAAAAGAATTAAGTTGTACTTACATTATTATTGTATGCATCTTCACTGACAAAAGACCCGTCAGACTTTTTAAAAGAAACTGCATACAATTCTCCTCTACCGTATGTTCGTCCATCTCTCGATTCCTACAAATAAGAACAAATATTAATTATTTTTACCATCAGTAATACATTCAACTCTATATAGATTTAGACGTACCAACTCAAGTTTCTTCCTTGCAAGCGACTTAGATCCGAGTGTATGTGGAGTCTTCAATTTTCCTCTATTTTAGACATTTTTTGGGTTATTTTCTACATAGTTAACAATTAAAAACACGCGTTATAGATAGGGATAACATACAAACCAGATAAATCTAACAAATAAAAACACTAATATTACCTGTGTTTTTTCTTTCTGCCTATATTGAACAAAAATAGCCCAATCATTTTCCAAAATGCCTATGCATTTTGGATAATTTTGAAGATTTTCTTCCAAAGTGAGATCCCATCTATAAAATTGGCGAAACAATTGATGTCTGCTATCCTTCCATTTCTTTGCAGCATAAACAAGTATGAATTCTTTGTCACGCCCATCATCAACAAGATAGTGGAGCTAACCATAAAAATAAAAATTAGTTAACAAAGCAAATAATAATCACCTTGAAATTAATTTTAAAAATATGTAATTGTTTATTAACGATACCTATATCTTTGAATCATAAAACTTTGTTTTTGTATCCAATGGAATATCCTTCCAACTCTCGAACATTATGGGAAAGTCTTTAAACATTCTAATAATTATACCCAAATACCCTGCTAACAAACCAGAAGCTGGTCCTATTGCACAATGATCCTTATCGAATTCAAGTATTATCCATGTTCCATCAGACTTTGATTTTGCAACCAAGTCTTTCACACATAAACGTGTGTTTGAAACATAATCCTCCTCATCTATCACATAAACAAGTAAACAAATTAATGTCATAATTCAACTATGTAAAAAATATTAAATTATTTACAAATACTTTAACCTTAAATTACTTACTAATGACATTTACATCCCAATACACAAATTTAGCCACTTTTACAACATCTTCAGCCTCATCTTCTACCACAACATCTTTAGCCTCATCTCCTACCACAACATCTTCACCCTCATCTACTACCATAACGACTTTTGCAATATGGATTGACAAAGGGGTTATTGAAGTTTCAATTGGTAGAAGGGTAATTTTAGTTTGGATTGGCGAAAGAGTTATTGTAGTTTTGATTGGTGGAGAGATTATGATGATTTGCGCGTTGTAGTTGAACGTAGGCGCTTCTTGTTTACTTCAAGATCTCCAGGTTGTACAAACCTCGGACGATCCTTCACAGACTAAATAAAATACATCAGTGAATATCAATCAACAATTAATAAAATTATTTTTTTATAAACTAGTGTTGAGAATTTATTACTAACCGGTGATGGTTTGGAAGAAGACAAAGATGTTTTGTGAAGGGATTGAAAGAGCTTTGGAAGATTGAGAGCCTCTAGCTTTTTCTTATTCTCTGCAATTCTTTTTAGGCGAATTTCCTCATATGATGAAATCATTTTCTCACAAAAGGCTTCAACTGCAAGGATATGTATTAAAAAGACAGTACACTAATAGTAGTAAACATCTAAATTTTATATTAGTGACTATAAATTTAATAAACATAACACAAACACAATAAATTAAAAGGATAATTTTTGCAAGAAAATATAGAGTAGTAATGTCATCTCATGCATTAATTAGGGATAAGCAACAAAAAACATAGAGTAATAATGTCATCCCATACATTAATTAGGGATAAAAAACAAAAAACACAAGTCTCACACAATAATGTTAATTATACAAACAAACTAGATTTCTTATCAATAAAAAACTATACGTTAATTATGGTTATCATTTGCTGATGAAGTTCCAATATCATCATTCAAAAAAATTTGTTCCAAATTTTGTGATGGATATGGCTTAATGGGTGACATAATTTCATCATTTCCACCCATCTCATACAAGTCTCTTGGCTTCAAATGAACAGGTATGCTCCATCCTTGTTCATTCTCATCTTCCACATAAAAAACCATCTGAGCTTCTGACGCTTGAATGTGCGACTCATTATCTTCATGTTCCCCAGAATGTAGTAGTTTTGTAAAGTTTATAGAGGTAAAACACAACTTATATATCTTAATGCCTCTTGGGTTTGTGGTATTAGCCCATTCACATTTAAACATGGGCACTGTGAAGCCATCATAGGAAAGTACAATAATGTCTATCAATCTTCCATATTAAGGGACCCCTGCAAATCTCATTTGAGTATCACTATTGCTTGAATAACTTTGCATCCCAAACAAGCCAAAAACGCCACTGTTGTGAGTTTTTAAAAGATTGTCTCGTTCCAATGTTTGAAATTTGAATCCATTGACATTGAACGCAGTAAATCTTTTAACTTTGTCAAAAGGGCCATAAGCAAGACTGATGAGAACATCTTTATCTGGTCCATGAATGTTGTCAAGATTGTTGCAAATCTATACACGATACACCATTCAAGTAGTCTTGTTATTATTTAAATCCAATTCAATAAAAACATCTATTTTTGTACAAAAACTCACATGATTGTAGAACCAATAAGAAAACTCTCTATGAACCTTCTTATCTATCTTAGCAGCACTTCTTTGACTACGCTTTATTTGATTCTGAGTAATACTTCGAAACTTCCTATTTGGTTATTTGATATTGGATGTAAAAAAAGTCTTAATAGTGCAAATGAAACTACTTAAATGGCATAAAACTACTTACTTTAGATAGTCGTCAACTATTAGATAATTCGTTAAAATGTGTCTATGAGCCTGTAACTTTTCAATTGGTGTTAGGGTGTAATAAGAAGATCCACCCACTGGTTTTCGAAATATAGGAAATAATTCGGCTACACGTGATCCTGTTTGGATATCACCAATAGGGTCATCATCTACACGTCCAGGTTGATTCCATCTAGTTTCAATGTTTTCTAGATATCTTGAACAAAATGTAAGAATCTCTTCAAAACGGTATCCTTCTACAATAGACCCTTCTGGTTTTGCCTTATTACATACATGAGATTTAAGTTATCCCAAGTACCTATTATTGAACCACAATAGTATCGGTTAAAAAAAATCTTTCTCTTTTCTAAGTTAGTAACAATAAAATAAAATCACATAGTTTACCTTTCAACAGGATACATCCATCGATAATGAACAGGACCTCCAAGTTTAACTTCTTCAATAAGGTGAACAATCAAGTGAACCATAACCGTGAAGAATGAGGGAGGAAATAACATTTCCATGTGGCATAAAGTGAGGACAATTTAGTTTTGCAATTTTTCCAATTCTTCAATTTTCAATACCTTGGCACATGATTGTCTAAAGAATGAGCACAACTCAATCAAAACTGCTGAAATCTCACGAGGTAATGTGTTGCGAATGGCTAATAGTACAAGTTGTTCCATTAATATATGACAATCATGACTCTTCATCATTCCATTCACCTTGAGATTTACTAAGTCAATGCATCTAGAAATGTTGCTTGAATAACCATCAGGCACCCTAATATTCCTTAAAGTTGTTAATAAATTCCTTTTATCTTTACCCGTTAAACTAAAGGCTGCCGGAGAAATTCTACCATTTCCATCAGGCCAAAGATCGGGTCTTATGCCCATATTTTGAAGATCATCTCTAGCTTTAGAATTGTCTTTACTCTTTTGCCTATCATTTAGTAAAGTAAATAGGACATTATCACACACATTTTTCTCAATATGCATCAAATCAAGATTATGGCACAGAAGATTATCCTTCCAATACGGCAGTTCAAAAAATATGCTTTTTTTTTCTCTTTTGTTGAGGATGACCTAGTGTAGGATCACACTGTGTACTATCACCTTCTATATGTTGTCCCTCAAATGTTCTTTTTAGCGTGTTTCTTTCACTGACTTTTTACTAAAGATAACTTCAATTTCTTTAACCTGTTCAAAAACTTCATGTCCAGATAATGTTCTCTGTGTACTCCGCATTTCTTGTTCACCATTAAAGCGGATCCTGTTCAATCTAAACCTGTGTCTCCGATCAAGGAAATGGAGATGACCCACAAAACACCATTTACTGCTAGCTTTAAGATGCAGAGGTGTAGCTTGAAAGTTAGACGATAGGCAAGAAATCCCTGTGTTCCACCCAGAAAGTGCAACCATACCTGGAAAGTCACCAATCATCCACATCAAATTTGCATGCAACTTGAACATCTCTTTCTTGAAATAATCGTATGTATCCACACCATTTGTCAATAACTCTTTCATCTCTTTGACTAATGGTTGTAAGTAGACATCAATATTATTTCCTAGTGCTTCTTTTTCAGGAATTATCATTAACATTATAAATGATGTATGTTTCATGCAGACCCATGGAGAAGTGTTTTATGGAATGAGAGCAGCTGGGCAAATACTATTGTTTATACTCATCACACCAAAAGGATTAAAACCATCACTAGCCAATGCAATACGCACATTTCACGGATCTGATGAAAACCAAGTATGTGTCAAGTTAAATTTCTTCCAAACTTCTGAATCTCTAGGATGCCTCAACATTCCATCGTTGTTAGCATCTGTTGCGTGCCATCTCATATCCTCGGCCGTCTTTGATGACAAAAGTAATCTCTGCAATCGAGGTTTTAATGGAAAATAACGAAGAACCTTGGCAGGAATTTTTTTCTTTTTCTTGTTAACAAAGACCGCTTCATTTGTTTTCCATTTTGAAGTGTTGCAATTTTGACAAGTCTCCCTTTCTTCATCTTCTCCCCAATAAAGCATGCAACCGTTTGGATATGCAAGTATGTTTACATAATTCAAACCAAGTTTTGTGATTGATTTCTTGGCTTCATAGAACGAACCTGGAATGTTTGCATATTCAAATGCATCTTTAATTAACTCTAAAACCATTGTCATTGCCTTCTCACTCAATCCATATAAACAATTTATATGGTACAACTTAACCAAAAAATATAGTCTTGAATATCGTCACCCTTCATGTAAAGGTTGTTCTCTTTCTCTAGCCAATTCATAGTACTCTTTGGCTTCGTTTCTTTCCTGAGTTGCACTTAGCATCACATAATCTTATTGGTCAATCTCTAATATGACGCAGATGCTATTTCATTAGCATGATTCATATCAACTCCAAATGCATCGTTGATCATGTTATGAATAGGATCTTAAAAAATGATAGTATCTTCAACCATATTTTGAGTAGTCCTAGGGGAGATAGTACTAGGTACAACTAAGGACTCTCCATGATGAATCCACATGGTGTATCCCTGCGAAAATGGTGACCACATTAAGTGGTCGAACATGTCACTCATACTCTTTGATTTTTTAAAACCGCAGTGTTTGCAAGGGCATATTACTACGTCATTTTCTTTTGCACCTTTAAATGCAAAATCAATCAATTCTTTTATCTCTTGCTGATATGAAATCGATGATTGTGGCTTAGTAATCCATGACTTATCCATTTCTTCAAAAAAATAGACATAGATAGATATAAACAACAGTAAAGTTCAAAGAAAATCCTATAAAAAAAATAAGCAAACACTCTAAATATAAATATTTATAACAATAGAATCAGATGCCATTGAAAGACAAAAGATACACTTTAGCCTCATAATCACAAACTAACCAAAATGAACCCATGACATACATTTAATTTTAAACAGGATATCAATGTAAGTATTGAAGAAAAAAAATACATAAACTAATGTTATGACAACAACATCATCATCTTGCTTAGAATTAACAAGCTCATATAGAAAATTGACATTGTAAGAAACTTTGCGTTATTCATAACGTGTTACCTAGGACATTCTAAGAAAAATGGTTTATAATAAAATTTGTCAGGTCAAACGATGCATATTCTATCATAAACCTTAAAGTTTGATGCATATTCTATCATAAACCTTAAAGTTTAAGGCTTTTTCTTGACGACACAAACATTATGTAGTCAACAATGAACAAAAATATGTTATACTGCATGAATTTCCATAATCACCAACGCAGACAAAAATATTGCCAAAATCAATCAACGATAGACACATTTAGGATCACATAACTGAAAGTTGTAACTAGCTTATGTTCTTACTGTAACTAAAAGGAGACCCTCACAAAAGAGCAATCGTGTGTAAAATGAGGTCTTTAGACTTGACAACTAATTGTAACTAAAATGAGGCCTTTAGACTGTAAAACACAGTGTGTAACTAGCTTATGCTATAAACTGAAATAAAGGCATTTGATCATCTATCTGCAAACATAAAATTGACGGCAACTAATTGCAACGGTACCTATCACCGTGACGAAGTTATTTTGTTGTGTCTCCGATGTTGCTGTAAACTTATGGTGGATCGTGGATGTGAAGGTGAGAAAATACTTAGAAGGAGGGTTGAATAAGTATGAAGATAAAATCTTAGAAGTAAAAACTCAAGTATTTTTATCCTGGTTCGTTGAACTCAACTACTCCAGTCCACCCTTTCTAGAGTGATTTGTCTTTCTCAAGCAAGGACTTAATCCACTATTTAATCAACTGATTACAATAGTAAGCACTAAGAACAACTGTTCAAAGTCTTCTCAAGAACTACTGATCCTAACTGGATCTTCTTAAGGTTTTCTGACAATCAAATGTAATAATAAATACAAGTGTTAAAATGCTTCTAATAAAGCTTTATCACAACTGTGATTTTTCACTTAAGATTGAGAACAATGAAATAATTCTAGCAAGAATATATGAGTTGTATGAGAGCTTTGATAATGAATTCTTTTCAAGTGTTTCGTCAACTGAAGAAGATGAGTGGAGACTTGCTTTTATAGGCACAGTGATCCAAGAGTTTTTCACGTTGAGAAGAGTGTACTAAAAGGTCTGAGCCTTTTTTGTCTTCACATCAAGTGACCTTTCCTAGAAGAAGAAAGCACAGAGAAATCCTTTTTGTCTGTGTTCTTGTGTCTAGCATAAATAAGGAAAGAGTCGTTTGGATATTCCAACGAACATAATCTTTGAATTCTTCTTCAAAAAATTTTAGCAAGAATCATCAGAGTCTAATTTGGCCAGAGCCTTCTGATGTTCATCAGAGTTTTGCTGAATCAGAGTCTTTGCAGCAAGTGTGCTTTTAGCGTGTATAAGTTCAGAGCAGAGTTTTGGGTCAGATCCTCAGTACTGGCAGCGTTAGTACTATCAGAGTCTTCTGAAGTAACTATGCTTGAAAACTCTTCATACAAAATTCTTCATTGGTTCAGATGCTTCTGGCTTGCTTCAGATTCTTCTGGAGGCAACACTCAAAATCTTCTGATGGCAGCATTCAAAATCTTCTAAGGAATGCTTCTGACGCTTCTGAGCCTTGCATATTTCTTATGTTCATATCTGATTTGCTTCCGGAGTGATATTTACTTTAACATCTGCAACAAACATTCTTAAGCAAATTTTAGAGTATATAATTCTTAAATACAAAATTTCATAATAGTTATCATCAAAACATAGAGATATTATTAAGAACCAATCTATGTTCTAACAGGATGATGGTGCGTCGTTTTGTTTTTGACAGAACTGGCTGCTCCGCTAAAGGGCCGACACTGTACACCAATAGCAGCAATGCTACAATAGCATACAACCAATTTCAAGTAAAGCTTGCAAATCTGCCACACTAACATCCCCTAACGCCCCCAAAAACAGAACTCTGTTCCATTACAAAGCAGCTAAGCAGAAGACCAACTGAATACCGCAACATACCAAAAATAGCAACATACCAAAATAGCCAAACAAACAGTACAAAATCCTGAAACAGCAAAATTCTGCAACAACAACATACCAAAATAGCCAAACAAATAGACCAACTCCCAACTACAATAGGGAAATGGTCAGGAAACACTTTAACTAAAAACTACACAACTCTACAAGCAGAATAAAATTCAATGACCATAAAAAAGTTGCACCCTGTATAAACGGCAACAAAAGAACCAATTTAACACAAATCGATGTGGTACTTAAATAGATTTTTCCTAATGCACCTTCCACTACACTGCCAAATATGATGTTGCAACCTAAATATTAATAGTAATATGGGCAATGTTTCTCATGTTTGCAGTGATTTTTGAACAACCTAAACACTTTTCACAAAACAGAAAATGATAACGAATAGAAAATGATTAATAGTAGTGTCTTCCATTCATCATTCTTCCACTTTTCCACTCCTATCTTCATATGTAAAGATTAATCAAATGAATAAGAATATAATTGAAATGAATAAACACTGAAATGAAAATTCCTTCTGTTCCTATCTTTAAAATTGAAATGACTAAACACTGAAATGAAAACGACTTAGGGTCATAGTATAAGTAAAATGACTAAACACTGAAATGAAAACTCCTTCCATTCCTTCCTCTCGAACATCGTTACCTTGGATATTAAGAATATAATTGTTATGATTCTTACAAATCAACACACCTTGAAATAATCTAGAGTTAGCATCGCCCTCTTGAAGTCATGTTAAACATGTTTTTTTTCCATTAAATAATCTATTAGGCTCGTGATAACAAGTAAATATTAGTTGGATTCTGCTAACATAGAGGTAATGATAGTAGTATTTCATCGCCCTCTTACATTCTTATAACACAGAGGTAATGATAGCAGTATTTCATTGTAACAACTTTGTGGAAGCATGCTTAATATTTCGATCATCTGATTCTGTCTTTTTTTAAATCATTTCAAGATTTGTATATTTCTTGCGATAAATCTTATTCATATATAAGTTATTTTGGATGTTGTCTACAATCATACTAATGAGGTTGATGACCCCAATCCTTACACTACTTCATTTCGTGGCATAGATAATAAGGTAATTTCTTATTTTTAATTTTATTTTAAAAGATTTATTTGTATTTTAAAATATTTACAGTGTCTTTATCTTGTTCTATATTTAAATGAAAGAAAATAGATCCACTATCACACAAAAACCACCTGAAACACTATCCAACAAAAAACAGATTGACATCGGCAAAACTAAAACAAGAACACCTACAACTCTATGAACAATAGACAAACCCTGCTACAACAAAAAAATAACATTAACACAACTGAGGCTACTTGATCATTGCATTTTAATGCACCTTCCTCTATGTTTAGACTTAGGCATTTCTACAGTTTAGTTTGTTTAATTTCATGTTTTAGGATGTTTTTACAATATATTTTATTTTAAGCTTTATTTAAATTTCGTTCGTTATTTTTCAGCATTAGTAGCTTTTAGTAAAAAATTCATAAATGGAGCTATAGGAATCGGATCGAGGCGTTCTACCAGTCATTGGAAAGCTAAGAAAAAGATATACAACTTTCATGTTGCACGAAGGAGCTGATTTAGATTTCTTGAGTCTCGAATAATTCGTTGAAGTTTCTGACTTGTGATAATGTAGTTTCCCTTGCGGGCCTAGTTTATGTTTCTGGCCCAGTTGTTTTCTATTTAAGCTTGCTGCTGTGATGCAAAACTCTAACCTAGTTTATTTTCTGAATTTTGTTTTGTTTTTCATTGTTTTCATGGCGAACTAATCCTAACGGAAAATCCGCCGGTTTTGAATCCCGTAATTTCTTTGAGGTTTATTTTCAATTCAATTGTGCTTTATTTCTGCTTTTTTTGAGTTTTTTCTTGAGTTTCCGCGTCCGGCCGCCCGTTTCGTCCATTTCTCGTCCGACCGAGCCAAAAAAACCCGGTTTAGGGCAAATCGCCTCCTTTTCAAGATCTGTTTCGTGCACTTCAAGCAGAAAATTCGTGCGCTCAAAAATCCCTTACTACAAAGTAGTTATGGGAGTTTGCCATCGGAATCACCAAAAAACCCTTTTTTCTATTTTTAATTAATTTTTTACTGTTTTCACCGTCTCGAAAAAATCCAAAAAAACATTTCCAAAATTCTTATTTGACCTAATTAGATTAAATTTTGTGTTTTCAGATTTTTTCGATTCTATTTTAACCCTCTTCTTTCTTTGATTTTGATTCTGACCTACAGGGACATTATGGAAATTGTTGGAATTGTTGTTGCATTGAAAATCCTGGCCACGAGAGCTTCCTGTCCAGACCTAGCTGATTGCGATCCTGAGATTGAGAGAGCCTTGCACTCACGCCTTCGAGATAATCAGGTCGGCCCTAGTTCATCATCTCTTGTCGTTCTTGATTCTGATCCTTTGTCCACCATGGCTGAACAACGGACACTAAGGGAGCTTGTTGCCGCTGATGTTAACTATAATGGATTGTGTATTGAATATGCTAACCTTGCTTCTCCCTTTGAGTTAAAATCTGGACTAATACATTTGTTGCCTAGATTTAACGGTCTTGCAGGTGAGGATCCACACAAACATCTCAAGGAATTCCAGATTGTTTGTTCCACCCCACTCAGGCCTGAAGGAATTACGGAAGACCATATCAAGCTGAGAGCCTTCCCCTTTTCTCTACAAGGTGTAGCCAAAGATTGGTTATATTATCTCGAG